TCTGGCTGCCGGCCTCCCTTCCCGGCACTTGGGGTGCACAAACAGATGAAGGTCATGGCCCTCGTGGAGCTCACGTTCTAGTCCGGGGAGGGAGGAGACAGACAATAACCAGCATAAACACAAACAGACATATTTAAAAAGTCACTGTAAAGTATATTGGATGGCAAGGAGCATGGTTTGGGGGATAAAGCAGAGCCGAGTAAGGATTTCCAGGAATTCAGAGGACTCGGGTTGGAATTTTAAGAAGGGTAATCAGAATAGACACTAGTGAGGTGACAGTTGAGCGAAGACTTGAAGGGGGCGAGAGGGTTAGCCCAGCGGATAACAGGAGAACGGCTCTAAGTGGGAGCGTGCCCGGAGACTCCGTTCCAAGCAACGGGCAGTGCGGGCAGCACCAAGGGCTTGAGACGGAGGATAGGAGAGGGTGACATCAGCGGGGTGGCAGGCACAGGCCACGTAGGTCCTGCAGGGGGTCGGGAAGCAGAGCAGGTGAGGCCTTTTTTTATGTGTGGAGTGAGGAGCCCTCGCAAAGTTCTGAGCAGGGGAGTGACATGATGTCTCACATTTTGTGAAAATCACTCTGGCTGCTGTGTTAAGAATAGACAACAAGGTTCATGGGTAGAAACAGGGACCCTGGCGAGGGGTCTCTGCTGCGGGAGGTCATAGTGACTCCAGCCAGGGTGGGAGTAGCGAAGGTGGCTGAGTGGTCCGATTCTAGACATGTTGTGAAGGTCACGCTGGTAGGATTTCCCATGGGTTGTGACTTGAGTGTGGGGTAGGAGAGAAATAGGAGTCAAGGATTTAGTCCAAGGATTTTGATCCAAGCACCTGGAGGATGGAATTGCCCTTGATCGAGAGGAGGGAAGATCGGGAGTTGAGTTTGGGAGGTGCTAAGTTTGAGGAGTCTTCCAGACATCCAAGTGGAGGTACTGAGAAGGCAGCTGGATAGATGAACATCTGGGGTTTGGGAGGGAGGGCTAGAATGAAGATGTACGTTCGGGAGTCATTGGCACATGCATGGTGATTTTAAAGCTACAAGATTAAATAAAATCTCCAAGGCTATGTATTGAGATAGAAAAGAGGAAAGGGTCAAGGACTGACCCCTGTGGAGGTTCCAACTTTAGAAGATGAAAGAAAGAGAAAACCAGCAAAGGGGACAGAGAAGAGGCAAGCAGCAAGGTAGGCAGAAAACTGGGTTGGTCTGATGTCCTGGAAGCCACGTGCAAGAAAGGAGAGATCCCGTGTGTCAACAGCCACCGAGGGATCAAGTTAACACAAGGACTGAGGGGCGCCTGGGTGGCTCAGTGGGTTAAGCGTCGGCCTTTGGCTCAGGTCATGATCCCAGGGTCCTGGGATCGAGTCCAACATCAGAGGGGAGCCTGCTTCTCCCTCTCCTTCTGCCTGCTGCTTGTGCTTTCTCTCTCTCTCTCTCCCTTTCTCTCTCTCTCTGTCAAATAAATAAAATCTTTAACACAAGGACTGAGAACCTATGAGTTTGTGTGCAATCAGCAGCTTGCCCAGCTGAGAGCTGACTTAAGGCAGTGGGTAGAACAAAAAGCCTGATGAGAGTAGGTTTAAGAAAAAATGAGAGAAGACTTGGAGATAGTGAGTACAGATGAATCTTTGAGGAGTTTGGCTCTAAAATAAATATGGCAGTAGCTAGTTCAGGAATTATAATGAAAGAAAGGTGGTATGTGTGTGTGTGTGTGTGTGTGTGTGTGTGTTTCAGAATGGGAAAGATATGACATGTGTGCAAGTTTAATGGAAAGGATCCTGAAAAGAGAGAGGAAAACTTTGTGAGGTGGGAGAGAAGAGAACTGCTGGAACAACATCTTGAGTAGGCAAGAGAGAATGGAAAGTGGAAAAATCCACATTAGATTGAAGCATAGGAAATTCATCTACACCAAGATGTGGCTTTGGGCTCTGGTGAGTGGTAAAGAGTCTGTGAACATTCTCTTCCCATTGCCACACTTTCTCATGTACTTACTGAGCATCTACTAGATGTCCAACACTAGGTTGTTCATTAGGTCATTTTACCAGGTTCTTATATTATTGACATGCCTTCACCTCTCCAGAACACTCAGGAATGTTTAGAGGACTTACAGGGTTTCAAATGACAGGGGTAATGATACCCATAGAAGCCTGAAGGATAAGCATCTTTCCAAAGCCCTCCCTGACTACATGGGCCCTTCCTGGGGTCAAGAATTTAAAGCAGTTACCCTATTATCCATTACCGAACACTGATAGAACCTCCTGCTAAAAATAGTTGTGCTAAAAATAAAAAGTTCCAGCCCTTATCTGAAGTTTGTCAGCTAAGCAGCCAACATCTACATCTACATATTTGGAAACATCTGGACAAACACTTGGATATTTGGAAACATCAGATATCTTGGCATCCTTTGGCATTTGCAAAGCTTTTACTCCTTATCTAGGTATTCTGGTTTTGTGTAGACACAGCCAAGCAGTGTGAATGATCCACTTGAAATCAAGCCTCTATCCACAAAGGTCTGTTTCCATCCTCATGGAAGCCCTTACCAGGGGAAGAATACAGTAATCGTGGAACCATGCGAAACAGAATGTCATCACCATGAAAATAAACACTCCCTTATATTTAGGGGTAAACTCTTTCACCAAATCTTCATTTTGTGTTTCAATTCTCATTCTAAGCAACTAAACTATTTTCATTTCTCCTGTTAACTCAAGAAATTACATCTTCTCCTCATCTTCTTTCTAACGTTTGATGAAATCTTAAATGTATTAAAACCCTTCCACACTGCGGCCAATGTGTACTATTCAGGTTCTTATCAGGCCTCGAGGTTAAGTCAGCTTTGCCTTTATTGCCTTTGGATTATGTTACTGCAGTTCATTATGAGTTGTTGGATAAGATGCTGCAGCCTAACTGACTGGAAATTAAATCCAATGTACCGTTCAGCTTTTCAAAAAAAACCCGTGATTCTTTGTAGTCAATTGGGTATTAAATTCAGCTTCCTTTATTTATTCAAGGTATCATGATAAAAGATAGGCAGATCTTTTATCTATTTTTCTTTATGCCCTTAATAGCACCTTGCAATCTGTTGTCCCGTGTTTATACATACTTATTATGTATGAAATGCCCTTCAAATCAAGGAAAAGCAAACTTCTCAGTAGCTGGTTTCAGAATCTTTGATACCTCTCCATCCCTCTGGTGTAGTAATAACTCAAGGATGTTTCAATGACTTTATATGGTCAGATTCCACAGGAGAGAAACTGTTCAGAGGCAGCTAGTCAATCTGCTGGCTTCTTACTCCTTCCTCTATGGTTCCTATCATATCCTTTATATGATATGAGTTTTGAGAGTTAAAAATCGGTGAGAATGGGGGCGCTTGGGTGGCTCAGTCAGTTAAGTGGCCAGTTCTTGGTTTCAGCTCAGATCAGGATCTCAGGGTTGTGAGATGGAGCTGTGCTGCGCACGGAGCCCGCTTAGGATTCTTTCTCTCCTTCTCCCTCTGCCCTTCCCCACTCATGCTCTCTCTCTCTAAAAAAAAAAATAAAAATAAATTTTAAAAAATCCGTGAGGAGGCTCAATGCCATAAGTAGATCTTTGAATCCCAGAAATATTATATTTTTCACCACACATGTGTAAAAGGAAGAGAGTAAAATTATAATTATTGATGAGTATGTATAACTTGCATTAGGTATGGTAACTCTATTACTTGAATTAGGTAGGATGCTGTAACAAATAAGCCCCAAGATCCTGTGACATAGCATAACAGAAGTTTATTTCTTGCTCATGTAGCAGTTCAGTGTAGGTGTCTTGTTCAACCAGTAGCTGTTCGTCCCTATGGTCATTCAAGGATCTGGATTACCTTCAAGTTGTGGGTTCAATAGCACCTGTTAATTTGGAGTCCTCTGAACCTGTCTACCAGATAGTGGAGGGGAGCATAAAAAATCCCATTTCTTAAAAGTCCCAATTTAGAAGTGACACACCACTCTGTTCATACACCATTGGTGAGAATTGGTCATATGCCCTGATCTGGATGCAAAGGAGGCTGGGAAGTGTAGTTCCCTTTGGGGACCTGTGTCCAAGTGATAACCCTAAGCTAAGGAAAGGGGTAACATGAATGTTAGCCAGCCATCTCTGCCATACTTGTGTAATGTAAGTACATTAAAAAGTATATTCCATAAAGACTCCTGCTATTAACATTTTGGAATATAGCTAACAAATACTATACATACTGTTCTATTAACTGGATTTTGTTCATTAACAATATATTGACTCATACATCTGTCACATGTATTTTAGATGTACATCATTTGTGTGAACAGAGCATAATTGCACATAGCAGCCAAAACATTTTCTGGTGTGTCTATTTGGTAGCTAATATCACAAAGACAGGGACCAGCATGAGACTGTGTAGTATGAAGGGGTGAATTCAGGCTTTGGGGTCAAGCATATCTGGGCTCACATCCTAACCCTTGTATTTGCTAGCTTATAATAATAGGAAGCGCTTTCCTTAATCTGTAAAACGGGGATAGGAACTTCAGTTTTTCTATCTGTAAAATGAAGATAATTACCTTTTTTATTAGGTTTCTGTGAGGGTTAGTGAAGTAATTTATGTAAGGCACTCAAATACCAAGACGCATGATGACTACATTTCTTAAATATGATAAATGACTTTATAAGATGTATAAGTTTTTTATTGAGATATAGTTGACATAACAGTATATTAGTTATATTAGTTTCAGGTGTACAATGTGATGACTTGATATTTGTATAAACTGTGAAATGATCACCACAATAAGTCTAGTTAACATCCATACCACACATAGTTACAATTTTTTCCTTGTGATAAGAACTTCAATCATCTACTTTCGTAGCAACTTTCAAATATAATACAGTATTATTAATTATAGTCACCATGCTATATATTATGTCCCCAGGACTTATAACTGGAAGTTTGTAGCTTTTGACCACCTTCACCAATTTCGCCCACCTCCCCGCCCCTCCCCCTGGTGACCACCAATCTGTTCTCTGAATCTGTGATTTATCAGTTTTATAAGAAAACTTTTATGTTGTCAGCATTTTATGGCCTAGTGAGATGCACAAGCAAGTAAAGCAAATTAGAGACTGCATACGCCTCACCTGGGGATCTTGATGCTGATTCAGTAGTTTTCAAGTGAGACCACGAATCTGAATTTTTAGCAATTCCCCTAGGGTGATTCATACTTCCCTTGGGACCAAAATTGAGAAACACTGATATATAGGCTCTATCTAGACAGCCAAATAGAGGCCAGCAAATCTCAAAGAGTAAAAAAGCAGAAAATTAAGAGAAATGAATAAATGACCACAGAGTTGTAAGAGAAGCAGGAGATAAGAGGAACATTTATAGCAGTATCTCAAGAGGCAATTTGGGTTAGACAAATTTTTGTTGTATGGGATCATCCCGCATTGTAGACATTTTGCATCCCTGTCCCCCGCCTGCCAAATATCAATAGTATCTCCACAATTACTGTGATCATGAAAAATGCCTCACATTTTCCCAAATATTTCTTACGGGAGCAGACCCACCCATGGTTGAGGACCACTGGTCTAGTTCAAAAGCTTCCCCTTTTCAGATGAGGGAAAGGACCACTTGCTTGTGGTCACACAGCCAATTGGTGGCGTGCTGGGAGTAAACCAAGTATCTTGTTCCACATTGAGGGCTTCTTTCCACCATGTGGCCATCTCAGTTTAAAATGCTTTTAAGTGCAAGACAGAAAGTCCAATTTGATCTTACTATGATCACAGGGAAATTGATTGGAACGCTTCCCTGGAAAGTCCAGAGATAGAACCCATTCAGGATTATCTGAATTGAATGGCTGTGACGCCATCTGCTTGTGGCTTAACTGGCTTTGCCTTCCTCTGTGTCCGCTTCATCCTCAGCCTGTGACAAGATGCTGGCCAGTTTCCCTGGGTGAGAAGGAATAGACTCAACTAGTCACAGAGGAGACTCAATGACCCAAGTCAACAAAAGGCGGGGGGTCATTGAAGTGTAGCCTGTCTGCTGGGTCTCATCCTGCCACACTGAATATTGAACACACTCAAAGAAAAAAGTCAGAAACCAGAAAGTAATTAAAAAGTAACTGTATGCAACTAGTAAATCGTTGAGCACTACATCAAAAACTAATGATGTACTATATGTTGGCTAATTGAACATCATCATCATCATCATCATCATCATCATAAAAGTAATTATAGTCACTAGTTGTATGTTCAAAGGCCAATACAGGAATCCAAGTCAGATACTGCAGCAACACTTCCTTATCATCTCAGGGCTCCTACTCATACATACTCTGACATGGCTTCAGAATCTTGATGTGTCTCTCTTTCCTGGAAGCTTTATTCTCTTTTCTCTTGCCTCCCTTGTCTCCTGTCCTGTCACTCATATACATTCTCTCCATGTCAAATGCCAAAGACCCAGAAATCAGCAAGCCAAAACAGGACTCGCCTCAAAGTTGGGGGTAGGGGAGAAGTTGAGCAGACAAAGGCAAAATCATGCCATAACTAGAGAGGACACCATACCAACAGACACTGATATTTGTAGACATTTGATGCATTTTCTCATACCATTCTCTCTCTCTCTCTCATCCTTGATTCTTTGCTGATTTGCTCCAGACTTAAAATCCTAAGCAGAAGAGCCCCATTGGCTCAGCCTATAGCATATTCCCATGTCCTAGGTGCTAAAGGGCAGAGAAAAGTGTATGTTTGAGCATGTGAACTACTAAAATGGAAGACAAGTCCTGCCTTTGGCCAAGATTCATACAATAGGGAATTCCCCAAACAGGAAGGTAGTTCTGATGCTGGGCAGGCATCTGAACTTGGCAGTGGTTGGATAGATGGATAGATGCATGGGTAGATGCGTTGATGGATGCAAGGATGAATTTGGTGGTTCTGATGGGCCACGCAGAGTTCCTCCCCTTTTCAATCCCCTATTCTTTTCTCCTGAGGCTTTAAGGCACAGTGGGACTTCCCCAGAGATTGGAGGACCATACTTTCACCTCCTTCTATGTATAAATAAAGAGAGGATAAGTTAAATTAAGGAGAGGATAATATTTATAATGGAGAGCCAGAAATCATCTATGCCTTTGTTAATCTAACATGTAGAATCATTGTAGTTATGTGTGTGGATAAATAGGTCCTCAGATTCTCTACCAGGTCTCGTCCATATCCTTGATGAGTCATGTCTGGTATCTCTACCAGTTCTCATCCATATTCATGATGGGTCATGTCTGGTATCTTCAGCCTTCTACAGCCACAAGGAAAGACATAAGCCAATATCACACCAAGAAGACCTGAGCAAGCAGGGCATTTAGTACATTTAAAACTAAGGCATATCCTTTGAGATTTCAGAGTTAAAATTGTGTGAAATGGCTATTTTGCTCAAGATCCATATATGTACAATTTTGAGCCTATACTTACATATTAGGCACCTTAACTATGTAATTGCACTAATCCTGACAACAAGATTAATATCCCCCTTTTGTTTACGAGGAAGCTGGGAGGGTGTACTTCTCTTGAGGGCACACAGCTAGTAAGTAACAGAGCCGGAATTCCAAGCTCAGCCGTGTCCAGTACACCCAGCAGTGGGACTCACAGCCTAATTCCCTCCCATGCCAGCCATACTAAACAAGTCCTTTCTTTGCCGCTTTGATATATTCATTTGTAGTCAGTTAAACCGGTTTTTAGGCAGACTTTCTTAATGGATGTTAATGCTTCTGTGCTAGAACTAGCTTTCTCTCCAGAATACCCAGGAACATTTCAAAGTCACACTGAGCAGTAACAAATTACATTTTCCTCAACAAATTTCTTAGCTGTCATAAAATGATTATGGATGTTGCCTGTGTAGGTTGGTGTTTCTGTCCTGGCCGTGAGCCGTAGTGCAGGAAAACATCAAAGTTTTGTGGGTGACAAAGAATCACCTCTGATCTTGACTTCAAAGACAACCAAACAAAAACCTTCCCAGCAACACCTTTGAGATTAATGTCAATCAAGTTTTTCTGCAGCTTGTTGATACAAGTATGCACATTACAATGAATGAAGCATGTTAGGAAACTATAAACCTCCTCTAAAATGGCAGTAAAAATACCTACAGGACACACACAATTTTTTTCTGATGTATTATAAGAGAATTTAACAAATGGACACTTTTTACCCCTTAGCCCTGATTCTCCAGCACCAATTTTACAAGGGTGTCAACAAAGCTCCATCACCAAGAGGGATGGTGCTCTTTCTAAGCCATGAATCCAAGCACCTGACATCTTCTCTACTGTGTGCAGTTTTCCTTTCTGTCCTGCTCTCCTGAGTATGCATGCTGAGTTTCTCAAAGCCTTTTGATCTGGGTCTGGGGCTTACTTGAAATTCTCAATTCTACCTCCACCTCTTCTGGAACGTGGCAATCTGAGGAAAGACACCTTGCTCCTGGCACACTTCCCAGGCTGGCTCAGTGCCTCATGTTGGTGTCCCACGGCACCCAGGGCAACCTTGACCACATCATTTACTGTATGGCATCATCTTTGAGCTCTTAGACAGCCAGGACCATGTTTGGACCATCTTTGTATCCCAGACACAAAGCCCGGTGCCCAACACAGAGTGGGTGCTCAGTGCCTGTTGTCCAATTAAGTGCACAAATGGAAGTACAGACCACCCTTCACGCATACAGTTGAAAATGAGTGTCCTCAGGAGTCTGGGAAAGGACAGCAAGAATGGTGGGGACAGGTCAACTGGAACAAGGATGGGCAATGGGAGTATGTGATGTGGAAAGGTCCAGGGAGTCAGAGGAAGTACAGTTACTAGAAAGGAGTGCATTAGGCACAAGCTAAAGGTGACAGAGATGATAATACAGCCATTATGGGGCCTGAGCTAGAGCTTCAGGCCCCAGAGGGCTGTCATTATTTTCCATGTAATCAGTGTCCAGATGGACACTATCTTTTTTAACTCTTCCCATCCAGAAGGGTTTGGCTGGGATTTTGTATTTATTTATTATGTGCTTATGTGAGGTCCAGGCTAATGTGGCAGCGCCCTCATTTGTGGGACAAATGCTGAACAGCTTCCTCAGCTCTGCACACCCATGTCCTCGATGATGAGTCCGCCCCAATAGGAGCTTGATAACACCCCCAGACTGGGAAAGATACTATGCTATTGGAATTGGACTCAGGGCATTATGAGACACCTTAGAATGGTTTTTAAACATTTTCAATCAAAATACCCTGAATTTAATAATTCATTAGTCAACAAACGTGTGTAAAATTTCGATGACGTGTTAGCTATTATGCTAGATCCAAGGATAATAATCACAGTCTTAATTAAAATAACAGTAGCAACGCTCAAATGTAAAAGCATTACACTTTTCACATCACTGTGCTTCTACAGCCACAGAAGAATGTGAGCAAGAGCAAAAGACAGAAAATGTGTTATTTCCAATTTTATCTCAATTCCAGCATAGATTAAAAAGGCACTTTCTCCTCTGAGTTACTGAAATGAGGTGAGAGTTGATTGGGGAGAATTTTATGAATAGAGCTTATTTTCATTTTTTATGTAAAATTCATGCCAGAGTCCAAATAACAAACACTAATATCCACACAGCCAAAAGCACGAAGCAAATAGATGGACTCAATTGCAGAACATTAGCTCTTGCAGGTAAGCCAGGCTCAGAGGCATGGATGTAGAAAGAGGCTGCCACTCCCTGGCTCAGGTCCTTCTTCATCAATGAGAGAAGCAGCTCCTTTGTCCCTCACGACAGCCAGGCACGTTCTCCTACTGGAAATACCTCTACCTGGAATCTATAGGAGTGGGGACTCGAGCTCTTCCCACTAACCAGCTCAGTATTTTGAAGTAATTGATTTCATTCCTTGTGATTCTGACCTAGATTTTGTCTTTCAAAAACTTTGGTCTTTCAAATTTTGTCTTTCAAAAAATCACATGTGTGTCTGACCTCATGGCTGCGGTATGAACTGCCCCCTCCCACAGTGTGTAGACCAGTAACAGTCGCCTAGGATGGACACAGGAGTCTTCTGACCAGGCAGAGCTCTGCAAAATCCCCAAGGATAGGAGTGTTTTCTTACTTCTTGTACCATTAACCCCAGGCCCACAGCATCAGTATTGAAATTGATGGAAAGATCTCATAGTGGTCAGCAATCACTCTAAAGCATATTATTACAAACTTCTCAACTGGTAAACTCATGTGGATACCAATCCTGACATACAAACTTACTTTTTAAAAATTTTTTTATTTAAATTTAATTAATTAACACATAATGTATTATTTGCTTCGGGGATACACCTCTGTGATTCATCAGTCTTATATAATACCCAGTGCTCATTACAACCCCAATGTCCATCACCCAGTTACCCCATCCCCCAACCCCCCCCCCTCCAGCAATGCTGTTTGTTTCCTATGATTAAGAGTCTCTTATGGTTTGTCTCCCTCTTTGGTTTCATCTTGTTTCATTTTTTCCTCTCTTCCCCTATGATCCTCTGTTTTGATTCTTAAATTCCACAAGTCAGTGAGATTATATGATAATTGTCTTTCTCTGATTGACTTATTTTGCTTAGCATAATATCCTCTAGTTCCATCCATATCATTGCAAATGGCAAGATTTCTTTTTTTGATGGCTAAATAGTATTCCATTGTGTATATATACCATCTCTTCTTTATCCATTCATCTGTCAATGGACATCTGGGCTCTTCCCATAGTTTGGCTATTGTGGACATTGCTGCTGTGAACCCTGGGCTGCAGGTGCCTCTTCAGATCACTACATTTGTATCTTTGGGGTAAATATCCAGTAGTGCAATTGCTGGGTCATAGGGTACCTCTATTTTCAACTTCTTGGGGAACCTCCATACTATTTTCCAGAGTGGCTGTACCAGCTTGCATTCCTACCAATAGTGTAGGAGGGTTCCCCTTTCTCTG